CCCGATGAAAGATTTTTTCTTTGCATGACTGTGGGAATACTTTACACTGAGGACTGATGGTAAAGAACGAGATACGAAAGACGCCGCAGTAACTGTGTCCCATCAGACAAAGCGTTTGGGGCTGTCTGTTACAGCCGAAAGTTTGGGGTGAGTACGCACTCTATTAGGGGGATGTATTGATCTTAATACAAACCCCAGGAAAGCACTACTCTACCGAACATTGGAAGGCTCTGCTATTTGGCTTTGAAGCGGAGCTGTATATTACAGAGACTTTATCTGTTTATATTTTTTGTTAGCACAATTAATTGTCATTCACAATTATTTTCGTTTGTATTTTTGTTTACCCACCTGAATTTTTTCACGCATATGATTTGTCACTTAATGTTATTAATGCACATGAAGGTGTAAAAAAAGTGAAGGATTTTTTAATGTGTATAGACTGATCCACTTTATTTTTACACATTGAGACACCTACAGGTGAAACTCGAATAATTAGAATATCATGCAAAAGTAATTGCAGTAAATGCTGCAAAAGGGGCCCAAACCAAGTACTGAGTACATATGCATGCTTGTACTTTTCAGAGGTCCGATATTGTTCTATGTACAATCCTTGTTTTATTGATTGCATGTAATAATCTACTTTTTTGAGGTTGTGGATTTGGGGTTTTCATGAGCTGTAAGCCATAATCATCACAATGATGACAAATCACGGCTTGAACTATCTTGCTTTGCATGTAATGAGTCTCTCTCATATATTAGTTTCACCTTTTAAGTTGCATTAGTGAAATAAATGAACTTTGCACGATATTCTAATTATTCGAGTTTCACCTGTAGAAGCACTTGGTTAAAAATCACCTCCTAATCGTACACATGTTTATTAACTATTACAGTGCCGTGTTTTGTCATTGATTTACGGTACTTGCATTGATGTGATTTTTTGATGATTTGTAGTTCACAAACACCATTATGTGGTTTTTTGATTCACCTACTAGCGCTGTTAATTTGGTTTAGATATAACAAAATGCTTCCACAGACTGAAAGGGAACAAATAAGATAAGTTCATCATTAGGGTTTACATACACTTTAAAGTATAAGTACACTTTAAAATAAAGTGCATTGTGCATTTATGCCTTTTGCCCCTCTCCCCTGATCTAACCTAACCTGCCCCCCCACCGGGAGGCATACGCAGGGCCGGATTCCCCACATCTCCCGATGCCTGGGACATGCAGTTCTGGGTGCCGGGCGGTAATTTGTTTTCTACATTTAGCCCTGCTTTGCACAAGCAGGGCTAAATGTAGAACGGATAAGCTGATTGTTTGTTTACAAGTGATCTTGGCGATGTCGCCAAGATCACTTGTAATAAGACTGCAGCCGGTCCGTCCAGTCCCCCCGCGCCACTCCGTGTAAACAGTGAGAGGGGAGAGCTGTCTTCCCCTCTCACCTGTCACAGGAGTTCCAGCACAGTGCTGTGCTAGAACTTCTATATTGGAGGTGACAGGCTCATAAAGAGAACCTGTCACCTTCAAATGCTAGAACACAGGGGCTTGTTAGCTCCTGTGTAATAGCAATAAAGTTGAGTAAAAAAAATATATACATAAATAACAAAACAAAAAAAAGTTATAATAATTAAATTAAAAAAATAAAGTAAAAAATAAATAAAAAGTAAAAAAAAATAAGAAACAAATTATAAATAATAAAAAATAAAAACAGTAAAAAATGATTAAATAAATAAAAATTTTAAAAAGTAAAAAAAAAAAAAAGGGATTAAAAAAGTAAAAAAAAAAGAAAAAGAAACAATAAAAAAAATTCAAACTCACCCTGCCGGCCCCGCCATCTGGTTGGCATTCTCCATTGTGGGGGGTGTTATGGGGGGGGGGGGGGTGCATTGAGGAACCTGGCCTTGGGGCAGCGTTGAGAGTAAATCCGGTCTTGGGCATACGTACCTCGATCTGACAGCTACGGTTCTGCTGTTTGTTAGATTCAGCACCCCAAGTCTTCAATTTCCTGGCCACAGCTGAGCATTACAGCCCCATAGATTTTTATGGATCTCTAGCCTCAGGACACAGTCCCATAGAACTCTATGGGGCTGTAATACACAGGCATGGCCGGGGCAATAAAGACTTGCGGCACTAGATGTAAACAAAGTGTGGGAACAAGGTAAGTATGCAAAGTGCACTTATCCTTTACACAAAACTTGACCTGAATACCATTACAATGTCCCTTTAAAAAGGTCAGGATTACAATGGCTCCTCCGCGCTGTCTGGGGGAATAAACACTGTTAGGAGATGAGAACTTACTTCTAGTTGGTCCACCAGCTGAAGCTCCAGGGTCAGTAGGGAGTCCATGAGCTGGGTGACGTCCTGACTATACTGCAATGTTTTAGTGTCTACGATCTGCTGGTCTGTGATCTGCGAAAGCTCATCAAACAGCTAGAGAGACATACAGGACATCATCAAAAAATGTATTTCAATCACTTGTAAGGACAAGGTTAGGTTAGAACAACCTAATCGTTCAGAAAATTGGAGAGTATATGGAGAACATAAAATAAACTACTCATGACTGGACCAATGCAAGGAACCATATACTGTATGTACTCTTAAAGCAGAACTCCAGGAAAACATTTTCCTAACCCTGGTAGTGGGGCTACCCCTCACTGCAAGGGTTAAGTACTTTTTGTCCAGGTTACAAAAAGCTATACTCACCTGATCCTAGAAGCCGGCCATCTCGTAGACCGGTCCTTGGAGCGTCTCTTCCTCTGCTGTGCTGCAGCAGTCTAGGGTCCCCGAGTCATAACGCTCTTTGCATCGTGTATAGGAATCAGGACCCCGTGGGACATGCAGCGGAGGGGGAGACAGGATGGAGGGGGCGCTGTCACAGCCAACCGGGCTTAGAGCTCATAGACCGGTCCCTGGTGTGTCTCTCTTCCTCTGCTGCAGAAGTCTAGGGTCCCTGAGTCATCACGTTCTTTGCATCGTCTATAGGACACAAGGACCCCGTGGGATACGCAGGGGTACAGGATGGAGGGGGCGCTGTCACAGCCGGCTGGGCTTAGAGGATCGGGTGAGTATAACTTTGTTGGCAAAAACAAGCAATTAAACCTTGCAGTGTGGGGGTAGCCCCACTGCAAGGGTTATGAACATTTCCACCAGGAGTTGTTCTTTAAAGCCTAACTCCTGCTTTGTTTTGAATAGAGGAACTGTTAAAATGTCTGTCTAGTCATTAATGACCCCACTTGAGAGATTTTCCCTAATTTCCTATCCCTGTGACACCCCTACAAGAAACAGAGGCGCAGTTGTCACCAAGACAGAAAGAGACAAACAGTAATAGAAGAAGTTCTAACCTTTCTCGGCCCTGTGTCCCCGTCCTTCCTGTCCTAAAATTACGTGATGGGAAGACAATCCATGATGATACAGAAAGCATCGGTGACGTTATAATTGTAAGTGCTGGGCAACGTAGTCATGCCCCCTTATGGCCCATGACACTCTCCACTTTCAGTATGTCTTTGGGTTTGACTGATGCGCAGCGTCATTATAATGTTACCAATTGCTAAATGACATAATGGTGAGCTGACATGCCCACTATTCATACAGGAGCACTGCCAGTCCACAGTCATGCACCCTTTTCCGCTATACCTCATCGTTCTTCATTTGAAATTCATTAATTTTCTTGGCACCGGCCTCCTGGTTTTCTGCCACGGCCTCCTGCTGACATTGGTTAAAGATAACCATTTCGGCTTCCCTGTTCTCATAGTGTTTGAGGCCATAATCGAATATAGCCTGGCAGACCTCGGTACACTTCGTCCTGTATGTGGGGTCAGTGTTAAGGAAAAACATACTGTACATGATGTATGCAGGGCAGCCATCAGAAATTTTAGGGCCCCTTACACGGCTTTAGGCCGAGCCCTCCCCCCGCGCCGCTGGACACAGGGCTTAGTGACGCACTGGACGCAGGGCTTAGTGACGTGCTGGACACAGGACCCACCTGAGAGTGACCCTGCAGAGCCCACCATAAATGCTGCACAGCCCATCTGAGACTGTCTTTGGTGGGCTCTGAAGGGGTCTCAGGTGGGCTGGTCAGGGCTGCATCCCTCCCTCCTTTCCTTCCTTCCTAGCTCCTCTTACCTGCACACATGGCCTCGTCTGCCGCCGGACCGGCCAGAAGTGACGTCACATCCGGCCTGTCCGACATCAGACGAGCAGCGTCGCTGATGGGGCCCTTGCTTGTCTCAAAGCCACTGGAGCTGCAATGCTGGGGCCCTGCGCTGCTAGGGCCAGGCCTCCGCCTCCTCGCCCTTCACCATTGGCCGATAGTCATGTAAGGGATCCGGGCGGGCCCCCCAGGCTGCCCGGGCCCCTTACATGAGTATCTGCCGTACCACCCTGATGGCTGCCCTGGATGTATGAATATTGATCCTATATTGTGATATTGACTTACTATACACCGGTCACCTAATATGACTAGAGAAGAAGAAAATTTCGGAACATGCTGATACCTGAATATACCTTTCAATGTCTGCAGTACCCCAGAAGCACTGCATTTAAGGGTGTGCATTTCCCTGCTTTGCACCATCCTATCAGGCCATCTCTATGCGGGCTGGCTTTACTGGCCAATATAAAGGTATGGGAAGCAGGAAAGGATGAGCCGGTACTCCAGATTGCAGGGAAGTGTTGAAAATCATATATTATTTCACCCGGAAGTCGCGTATCTCCAATGGAAATGATGTCGCCCGCTGTTCGTTCTAGCGTGGAGAAGCCTATGGACATGCGAACCAGCTTCACTGCGACCACGCTAAGGGAGATAGCGTGGGCTATGACGCTTGTGACTATTTAATGAAAAGTGCTTTACTTCTTGCACATATTATCGAGTGCCGGCGACTTCTATTATGCACGTTAAGGGAGACACGGGACCTCCAGTCATGGCTTTCTCCAAGCACCGAGAGGGAAGTGGAGCCGGGACCAACCCCTTCGCATAGGAGCCTTAGGAGAGGTACGGGGGCACTAAGTCCACCATTACTGCACCTTTCAGTACAGCCCATGAGAGATCCAATGGTAACGATCACCTCCTCCAGACGGAGGAAACACAATAACTGAAGAGCGATAGTATCGGTGAGCTTTTAAGTTGGTGTGGTGACGTGTTTCCTGTTTGGAGGAGGAGTTACACACTCTCATGGGCTGTCCTAGAAGACAACTGGAAAATCATATATTATTTTCTAGGTGACAGTGGTACATTAAAGTGGTATATGAGGTAGTTTGTATATAAGTTAACCCAACAGTTTTTGGTTTTGCTTTTCCGAGTCCCCCCACAAATGCTACATGGTGCAATAGGCACTTGGTGCAACAGACAGTCCGTTCAAATGCATAGGCTGATTTAACAGAGCTTAAAGGGTTAGTTCATCTTTGAAAAACAAATCCATACGCACAGGGCCGGATTTACTCTCTCTGCTACCCCAAGGCCAGGTTCCTTCAATGCACCACCATGGAGAATGGCAGACCCGTAGGCTGCATACAAGTGATCTCGTCAACATCGCAGAGATCACTTGTACAAAACAAGTGGCGGCTTCCCTGCTGTACATTTAGCTCTGCTTGCCCATAGCAGGGCTAAATGTAGAAAACAACTACCCGCCCGCTGCCCGGAACTGCATGCCCCGGGCATCGGGAGATAGGACTTCCACTCCCCTGCTGCTCCTCTACTCCCTGCTGCTCCTCTACTCCCTGCTGCTCCAAGGCCGGGCCTTGTGGGAAATTCGGCCCTGCATACGCATTACAGCTTTGATTGTACAGTCCTAGCCTCCATTTTTAAAATAATTCCTACTTTTGAAGCTGCTTCTACCATGGGATCCTAGGCAGGACGGACTGACCTTTGTATATGTGGCCCCAAAACCTCACTAACAAACACTTGTCTAGGAACACTCAACTTGCTTTATCATGCATGCACAATCCGCTCACTATCTCCTTTGCAGAAAGCTGAGCTAACCTGCTGCTCAAGATAGAGTGGACTGCACATATGTGGCTAGGCAAGCCGAGTTCTCGTAGCCCTGTGCTCGTTTGTGAGGTGCTGTGAGGTGCTCCAATGGCCCCTCGATGTGTGGCCCCAGGCCCCTAAGCCCTCATGAAAGTGGGGCTTTAGGCTGTGGCTGGAGCACCTTAGTATTCCTGTGGCAGGAATCCCCAGGTGTCCCCGTTCAGATGCGGCCGGTGTGCCGGTTCAAGTTAATGGCATGCTTACAGCGGCTGCATCTGTCATCGGCAGTCAGCATGTACACGGCACAATTACCTGTGGTTCAGAAATAATAACTGTCCCTGGATGCAATCCGTAGGTTCTTGCCGCGGGAATCTACTGCCGCCCCGTGTAAATATAACCTCATAGGCCAAGCTGTCCAGCAAAAGTGTCAGTTGCAGGCATTGGGAGAAACCATTGCTGGGGAAGCTTACATTGGTCAGGTTTTAGTCATATACAGTGGTCTTCAAAATGGTGCACACCACAGCAACAGGTGAGGTTTAAATCACAGGCATAGCGCGTCAGTGATCTAGATCTAAAGCGAACATCTCCCCTAGCGTGACACAAGGAGGATAGAAGGATATGAGTCCACCAGTTCATCCACACCAGGCAAGGTAGACAAGCGAGTTCCATCCACATCCTCTGCATACATGCCCTCGAACAGGAAGGGGCCATTCAGGTATTCCACATAGGCGACCTTAATGTAAATATCATACAACAGTGACAGATACAACTTCACAAGATAGAAAACTTCAGGGGATAGAAAAACTCTCTGCTGTTCATGGCGACCAACAAGCTGCCATTGTAGTAGAACATGTCAGAGAATGAAAGTAAGCAAACTCCAACCTTCCCACTGTGGTGAAACTCCAAATCCCATCATGCATCTGCCTCTGAGAGTCATGCCTGCGGCTGTCAGAGTCTTGCAATGCCCCATGGGACTTGTAGTCCCACAATAGCTGGAGTGCGGGAGTTTGCCTACTCCTGGTCTAGAAGTTCAGGTGACACACATTGGAGAATATTATTCGGGGTCTACCTTGTGCTTATCCAGCTCTTGCTGACTCTGTTCTTCTTTTTCCCTCTTCACTCTCTCCAAAGTCTCATTATGATTCAGTTCCTCAATGGAGTATTGGTACTTCACATTGGCTATGTCTCTCTGAAATACAAAACGGATCATAGTGACTTTAAAGTGAACTAGGCCAGGCTAGGAACAATCAATTATTTTTATATTCCGAACAAGAAGTGAATGAGCAGTAAAACAAGCCATCACTGACCTATGTAGTTGCAGGCACTCTGGAGCAAATTTAGTCTCAAGCATACAAAATGGAGGCATACAGGTACATCACATTGGCCATGTTTTTAGCGTATAAAATGGAGGAATACAGATATGTTACATTGGCCATGTCTCTAATGTATAAAATGGAGGAATACAGATATGTTACATTGGCCATGTCTCTAATGTATAAAATGGAGGAATACAGATATGTTACATTGGCCATGTCTCTAATGTATAAAATGGAGGCATACAGGTACATCACATTTGCCATGTCTCTAACGTATAAAATGGAGGAATACAGATATGTTACATTGGCCATGTCTCTAATATATAAAATGTAGGAATACAGATACGTTACATTGGCCATGTGTCTAATGTATAAAATGGAGGAATACAGGTACATCACATTGGCCATGTGTCTAATGTATAAAATGGAGGAATACAGGTACATCACATTGGCCATGTGTCTAATGTATAAAATGGAGGAATACAGGTACATCACATTGGCCATGTGTCTAATGTATAAAATGGAGGAATACAGGTGCGTCACATTGGCCATGTCTCTAACGTATAAAATGGAGCAATACAGATATGTTACATTGGCCATGTCTCTAATGTAACAAATGGAGGAATGCAGGTAGGTCACATTGGCCATGTCTCCAACGTATAAAATGGAGGAATACAGATATGTTACATTGGCCATGTCTCTAATGTAGCAAATGGAGGAATACAGATACGTCACATTTGCCATGTCTCTAATGTATAAAATGGAGGAATGCAGGTAGGTCACATTGGCCATGTCTCCAACGTATAAAATGGAGGAATACAGATATGTCACATTGGCCATGTCTCTAACTTATTAAAATGGAGGAATACAGATATGTTACATTGGCCATGTCTCTAATGTATAAAATGGAGACATACAGGTAAGTCACACTGCCCATGTCTGTAACATACAAAATGGAGGAATGCAGGTACATAACATTGGCCATGTCTATAACATATAAAATGGAGGGCTAGCAGTACTTGTACTCAGCAGACATGGAATGTATAAGGCATGTACAAAGTCCAGTCTTACGATATTCTCATCTAGAAGCCGGAAGTCCAGATACACCAGGTTTGGGAGATGAGCACCAACAAACAATTTATAGTTCTCATCCTCGCACATCGGATTCCCCGCCAGACTCAACGACCGCAAATCCTGGAACCTGCGCAGGTAGACGAGCTGAAGAAGGCAAAAAAAAGAACTCTGACATCATAAGACGCGGGACATTGGTTATTAATGAGGAACTATTACTGTGTATACATCTCTGGTCTCCCTCCCAACATGACCGGACACAAAGTCGGTTCAATGAGATTCCTTACATTGTCCAGGGACGCCAGATTATTATTCCCCATTGATAAGATCTGCAGATTGTTCAGGGCGTCCATGTTCTCGAGAACGGAGATGCCGTTATTACACAGACAGAGATCCTCCAGCTTTGTCAGAGCGCCCAGCCCCTCGATCACCTCGATGTGATTAAATGACAAGTCTGCGGACAAAAAAGGGAAGTGAAGGGTTAACATGGAGCAAAGATATGACGTGCCATCGCTGGTTGCGTCCAAGGCCGGTCAGCTGCAGAGAATCGCGGCGCGTATGAGTAAACGTAAACGGCCACCAGCAATTTGTGAGAATCACACAATCCGCCCCATTCGCAAATGTGAATGAAGCCCCAGCCTGGATCTATTGGGTCACCTACGCCTTTGAGGCCAATGCCAATAACCAAAATGGCGGAATTCTGATGAAATCTCACAAATGTAATCTCCCAAAACTCTGAGCTTTGCTCATCCCTAGCAGTGAGCACTAAGGGCCGCTTCATGCTGCAGCGGTGCACTAAATGTTAGTACAGCGCATGGTGGGTGCAACACGCTTGGTGCCCTGGTGCATTGCATTGCCATTCATCCTGAATGGCACCCCAATGCACTTCCCCCCGGCATGTTACCATTCATCCTGAATGACACCCCAGTGCACTTCCCCCCGGCATGTTACCATTCATCCTGAATGACACCCCAGTGCACTTCCCCCCGGCATGTTACCATTCATCCTGAATGACACCCCAGTGCACTTCCCCCCGGCATGTTACCATTCATCCTGAATGACACCCCAGTGCACTTCCCCCCGGCATGTTACCATTCATCCTGAATGACACCCCAGTGCACTTCCCCCCGGCATGTTACCATTCATCCTGAATGACACCCCAGTGCACTTCCCCCCGGCATGTTACCATTCATCCTGAATGACACCCCAGTGCACTTCCCCCCGGCATGTTACCATTCATCCTGAATGACACCCCAGTGCACTTCCCCCCGGCATGTTACCATTCATCCTGAATGACACCCCAGTGCACTTCCCCCCGGCATGTTACCATTCATCCTGAATGACACCCCAGTGCACTTCCCCCCGGCATGTTACCATTCATCCTGAATGACACCCCAGTGCACTTCCCCCCGGCATGTTACCATTCATCCTGAATGACACCCCAGTGCACTTCCCCCCGGCATGTTACCATTCATCCTGAATGACACCCCAGTGCACTTCCCCCCGGCATGTTACCATTCATCCTGAATGACACCCCAGTGCACTTCCCCCCGGCATGTTACCATTCATCCTGAATGACACCCCAGTGCACTTCCCCCCGGCATGTTACCATTCATCCTGAATGACACCCCAGTGCACTTCCCCCCGGCATGTTACCATTCATCCTGAATGACACCCCAGTGCACTTCCCCCCGGCATGTTACCATTCATCCTGAATGACACCCCAGTGCACTTCCCCCCGGCATGTTACCATTCATCCTGAATGACACCCCAGTGCACTTCCCCCCGGCATGTTACCATTCATCCTGAATGACACCCCAATGCACTTCCTTTTACATATGCAAGGACATTTATTTATTTATTTTTTTAAAGGTGGACTGTGCCTTTAAATCCAATGTACAATAGAAGCAGATCTCAGCATCTTACTCACCGAGCCACACGAGATTCACCAGCGTATCCAACCCGCCGATCTTCTCGATGAGGTTGTTGTCCAGCTGCAGTTTGGTCAGGTTGTGAAACTGCCAGAGATTATCGATCTTCAGAATGTCTACAATAAAACAGATCAGCGGATGAACATGACTGAGAGGATGTTTATAATGTTATTATTTCATCGGAAGTGAGAGCCGAAATGCGCGCTGGCGCCGAGACTGAGGACTAATCCAAACCGGCGCGCTGTGTTAATGCAGATGATCGCATCGCAAAGGTGCCTGCGCTATTTTTCTAAAACAGCGCCTGGCAGTGCGTTGCGGTACACTGCAACACAGGTGCATCGGTGGTGCGCTAGGGTGCCATTTAAAATGAATGGCGCCGCAATGCAGGAATGCATTCACGGTGCGAGAGCATGCGTCATTGCATTGCATAGGTGTGCAGGCAGCCTTAGGCCTCGTTGACACTGGCAGCAAAGGGGCGCTATAAACAGGCGGTTGAGCCCCGTGTCTTCGGCCCCCCAGAACACAAAATGGCGACCCCCCTCGGGTGTGAACACTAGTGATGGACTCGGGCGTGTTCGCAGCTCCACGTGCCGAGCCCGCCAGGAACCTGACAGCGCCAATCACAGGCACGGAGACATTTCCCGATCTCTGCAGCTGCGGACCGGGATAATGTCTCAGTACCTGTGATTGGCGCTGCGGCGCTGTCAGCTTCCTGGCGGGCTCGGCACGTGGAGCTGCGAACACGCCCGAGTTCATCACTAGTGTACACATGCCGCAGCAAATTTTATACAGCATGTCCCTCTTGGGGCAGGCGATGCTGCTTGCCAAATGCGACCATTGCAGTTAATGGGACCATGCTGCAAACGCTTGCAGTGTGGTATTGCAATGCATTAAGGAGGAGGCGGCGTCACCTTCTGAGCGCCTGAGAACCGGCTGTCAACCGCGATTTCTTTTACCTGCTTGTTTACTATTTTTTTAAATGCCAGGCCCCGCCCCCTGCAGCGCCATTCTCTCCCCGGCCACAACGAAATGCCCCGCTCCCTCAGCCTCCTGGAGTATCCCCAATATACATCCCACAAGGCTTCAGGCGTAGGGACACGGAGCGGCCTGGTGGGCAGAGCTGCGGGCGTCCTTGGGGCTGCCTGGACCTGGAAAAGGCATCCAGCTCTCAATAACTGAGGAGCACCAAGATGGCGGACTGTGTCACGTGAACAGTGGATCACAGCAGGGCAACGTTGGATTGCTTTGGCAGGGGAGTCATGCCTGTGGCTGCCTGAGTCTTGCAATGCTTCATGGGACTTGTAGTTTCAGCACAGCTGGAGGGCCACAGTGTGGTGACCCACCGGTCAAACCAGGGACTCAAGCAGTTCATTTAAACGTAGACGCTATATCTGGGGGTCATGTGATATAACAATACAAAAGCCTTACGTCTGAAATCGAGGCGCAAGCTGGCGACATCCTTGAAATCGATGCCCTCTGCCTTGGCAATGCGTCCGGCTTCCTCGCTGGGGCCCTGCTCCTCCACGGCTCTTCTCAGCATTTCATCGTCAATAACGTTCGGCTCGGCGATACCATGCAGCCCATTCATTCTCACTTGTCTCCTTTACACAGAGAGGTTTCTGAAATCTGGCTGGAAGACAAAACAGGAAGTGAGAGGAAATCTCTTAGTGGTCACCAGATACAAGTGTCCCATTGGAAGAATTCCCTTCTATTCCTGTTCTGGTGACAACTCAAAAAATTTTGTTTTTTATTTTTAGTGACAGTGGTCACCAGGACAAATAGGATGAATTTATTCAGTGCTGCCTTAGTTCCTGTGCACTTCGCCCTGTCCTTTAATATAGATGTTCTGATACCCTATTCCTACCTGAGCAAGTAGAGATGCGTCCTTGGTTGCCAAGGGCAACTCGACACGTGGTAGGTAAATGTCCAATGACGGCGTTGTTCACTAGTAGCACGGTGAGAAAATAAAGCTTTATCTTTCAAGGTGTCCTCAGCCAATCCTTAGCCGTGACGTCGGAATAGGTGGGCGCTTCAGTGACACTGATGATGGCGGAGTGCGTCGACCAATCAGCACCTGAGGGCGGTGATTGCCTGTCATCCGCGGTGCAGCAAGGACAACATTTAAGATAGACAGGTGCCCAGACCAATGGCGTGTGAGAACAATATCGGTGAGGGCGGGCGAAGTGGAAGAGTCGTCCAGTAGGGTGCAAGATTCTTCCCACTCGTCCAATGGAGACGAAGAGGGGGCGGGAGCTCGGCCTGACTGTGGGAGTGAATCTAAAGACCGGCTGTTTGTTGTCATCAAGATGGAGTTTCTGCTGGGGAACCCGTACAGCACCCCGGTGGGGCAGTGTATCGGTAAGAGAGGCGGGCCCGAGGCCTTGTGTGTATGTGTGTGAGCCCTACAGGGCCTAATGTGTATCACTGTCACCTCTGTGTACACCCCGTGCTATAATATATGTACACCCCCCCTCCCCCGTATGTGTCACTGTCACCCCTGTGTACACCCCTCCTATAATATATGTACCCCCCATATGTGTCTCTGTCAGCTCTGTGTACACC